AATGGAAAAATCGTAAATTCTGAGTTCCGTATGTCTTGTAACTTACTGATCCCAGAAAGACATTGAGTGCGCCTACGGGCCATATACTGCTGCTTCATTGGTCCGGCGGCCTGGGGGGAGGGCGTTTTGATTGGCTGAGGGTGGAGTTTGATATATGCAGGTTTAGCGCCAAACTCTGCTGGCTGCGGCTGCGGAGACTTGCTGGGCCAACCAGGTGGGCTCCCGCGGTGAGTCATAGTGGGGAATTTCTCTTGGTTGGTTTGCGTGGGGCTTCGGAATCGCCATCCTCAGCATCTTATCGAGTGGAATGTCTGAGGTTCGCTTCTTGTGTATTTTTGAGCTGGAGGGGTGTGTGTGGGGACTCTCTTAATCGTCGAGGCGAAGTTCACTTCCTCTTTCACAACTGAACAGCGCCTCGGATCGTACAGGATAAAAGGAAACAGAGTTGTCTCTTCAAGTATCTAAGCGAATTTACTTTGTAAAGAGTTTATAGCAAAAAAATTTTAGTAATTATTACAATTAATAATACGTAATTTAGGTTCAATATCTAATTCGATTGAAATAATCTCCTATACTTATAGGAAATCCAATCTTAGCCTACTAGGCACTCAGGAACTGATAGGCACTGACCTGTGTATCAGGATGTCCTGCGAGTGTTCTTAGTCAATCGTGTGGGATGGGGTGTGCGAAGAGTGGAGAGGGCACAGTCCCTCCTTGAGCCTTAGTTTCCCAAGTTTAAAAAAGTCCGTGTTGCCCTTGTAAGGCCTCATTGATTTTTTGGGGAATGAATTCTGGTTCACAGTCCTGGAGTTTTGCCGCGGTCCGCTTGGCTTTTCACTCACCACTCTGCATGGGCTCTCCCAATAAGAATAGCTCCCAATTAGCAAGCACTGGGGGGAGGGGGGCGTTTACCGTCCATGCACCTCATTTAATCCTTTCTTTCGATCATCCATGGCTTATGAGGGCTGTGAAAAAGAAAATCCTCATGCATCTATGTACTTTTTTCAGATGAGAACAAACAGGCTCAGAGAGGTTGCGATCTACCTAAAGTTATGTAAAGGTTTCTGCAAAGGTGTGGACTTCAGACCTGCTCCCTGTAACTCTCACAGCTATCTTTTGACACATTGTCTTTCTCCCAGTTGTCAGGGCAGAGAAGTCTTCTCAAAAAGCTGCCAGGAAAGACCCCCCGAGCCTGGCCTAGGTATAGGACCAGCAGATCTGGAGTGGCAAAACCTCACGCTGTGCATCCACCTCCTGGATATGTTTTCAAAAACAAAACTCATCAAGACCTTCATATTTTGAAAGCTGTATAAAATGCAGTAGGTATGAGCACAGTTAGTTGCTGTTATCTGAAGTTTTGCTTGCGGGTTTTGAGCGTTACCTGAGCAACTGTTAAATATGAATGGAAAATTCCAGAAATGAACAAAACTCATAAGTTTAATTTTTGTGGTTTCCACAGTTTTTGTTTGCAATTCACCCTTATTTTACTATATGGCCCCAAGGGCAACGAGTAATGATGCTGACAATCGATATGCCAAAGAGAAGCCAGACAAGTGCTTCCGGTTTCAAGTGAAAAGCTGCAAAGTTCCTCAACTTAAGGAAAGAAAAAAAAATTGTGTGCTGAGCTGCTAAGATTCTAGAGTAACCAATGTTCTTCTACCCCTGAAATTGCTGAAGAATGGAAAAGGAAAGTGTGCGAGATGGTATAGGGGTTTGTATCATCCACCAGTTTCAGACGTCCACCTGGCGGTCTTGGTCTATATAATTCCCTTAGAGAAGGGAGGGAACATAATGTTATGCTTCTACTGGAGTAGTAGCCTGAGTGTGGGCAGCAGGAAGAGAGTGCACCTTTTTCATGTTGTTGTTTTTTAGGTAGTGTGAAAGTTACTTAACTGTCTTTCAGGTTAAATTCTAAGACAAGGTGACTCTGTTATAGTCTCCTGTGAATCAAAGAATGGTTCCTCTAGATTTCCTTCGAGGCCTGGAAAGGCCAGGGGTGCTGAAAGATAGCTCCACAGTTAACTTAAGCATCACAATGGGCTAGGTGGAGTTGTTTAGAAGTCTTTCTTTGGTGGCGGGGGCCCCTTAAAGTTAGGTGTCAGGGAAATCTAGAATGAATAAACAGGGGTGTGATTGCTTGTGCTGTAGGAGCCAACCCTGGGTTGGAGTGTCAGTAAGGGTTATGTAATGACCTCACCCGGACGCACTGCAGAGAGTTAACTGCAGTTTTTTTTTTTTTTTCCTGTCCTTCTGTCCCCATGTCATCTGTTCCTTCTTTTCCTTTCCAAAATATACAAGATGCTCCCTCGATGATAAGGGTTACATCCCAGAAGAAACCATTGTAAGCTGAAAATACTTGTCCAAGTTAAAAATGAATTTAATACACA